GGTAGCCTGTTTTGTCATTAGTCCTTTCTGGAATTGTGGTTGATCAGAATCCCCAAGACTTTCAGAGCTGTTGATATATATACAAAGCTATTGAGATGTACAATATGTGGACATAGCCAGTATAGAAACTTGGACTATGTATATCTGATACAAAGGATTCATTTTCTTTTAAAAAAAATTTAAGGGGGAAAGGAGACTGGCTATACATTTAACAAAATGAGGAGAAAAAGGAAGAAAAGAAGGTCATTGAAGCATCAAAAAATGCATAGGAAAGAAGGGAAGGAAGGTCAGTAGGAAACAGAAGTAGGACAGCTTTGGAAATAGCGTGTTGAATTATATACTTAAAAAGAAAAGCAAGCCTATAAATAATAGAGATTCACAGTTTCGTGCAAATTCTCTCTCCCTATGTTTTACTTTCTATACAGAAATACTCATATAATCTGATATTTGTTAAGTTCAAAATAAAAAAAACATTAACCCCAGTACCTCTTTAATTCTCTAGATAATTTTCATGGAAGTTGGGAAGGTGATGGAGATGCAGGTGCCATTATGGAGCCTGAGGTATTTGAGGGGAGAAGAGGGTTGGATGGGATGCTGCAGTGAGGGGCTTCGCCTGGTCTAGCATAGAATCAGAGGCTTTTTTTTCCAAACAGTTGAATGAGAGCTTTGGGCTGTTAAAGGAGTACATGACAGGGGAGAATGGGAACACAAAAGTCAGCACCTGGAAGAATACCAGACAGATACTGCCAAGTGTTCTTATGGCTCTATGCACTGTAAACTCTCATGTGCTGATTTGGACATCTCTTCAGACTACTGATGCCAGGTTTTTAGCATATAAGGGATAAGGGGAGTAATGGTTAGTATTTGCGAATTCCAATAAAAATGTGTTACATCAATTCTTTTGTTACAGTGATTAATTGGGTTATAAAATAAGTGAAGGAAGATAAGGAAGAAAAGTGGTAGACACAGGCTTAAATTAAATGCTTCCAAGTGATCTGCCTTCAAGTCAGAATTACTTTCCTAGTATAGGCACTTTAGCAATAAAAACAAAAATGGAGATAAAGACAGTTAATTTTGAAGGAATTGTAATTTCCAAAAGGTTCCAAACAAATATCAAATGAGTTACAGAGCAAGGATACAAGATACAAAGTTTGGCTAATATACGGAGATGATTAGAAAATGTCATACTGAACAAGGGGGCATCTCTCTAAGAAATTAGCCTACATGAAAACAGTTCCAGAGGTCAGTAGCCTTGTCCATTAGATCATGAATGTGATAGCTTGAAAATCTCACAATATCTGATTCTTCTCACTGTTTACCAACTCAGGCAGAATACTGCCTCTTGTAAAAGAGCATATGGTAAGATGATCAGAGCAAATCAGACAAACTAGAGTTAGGAGATAAGGTTTTGAACTGCACCTTGGCCATTTGCCAGCTGTGCAACCATGGACAAGTCATCTTCTTCTCTTAAAGCCCTCATTTACCCATGTGTAAAAGAAGAATAATAGGGGTGTGTGTGTGTGACAAACTTCCAAGAATTGTAAGGAAAGCAGTTTTTAAAACTTAAAACAATATATAAAATCTACAAATTATTAATATAACTATTTTTGGTCTGGGCTAACAATTTCATTACTATGAAGAATTCCCAGAATAGAAACTCTTACCACCAATATAGACCAGTATACTCTGATAAATTATGGTTTTTGAGAATTGCCTGGGACACCAAAAAATTAAGTGATTTGTCCATTGTTATACAGCTATTCTATGTCTGGGGCAGGATTTGTAGTATAACAGCATGGTATTTCTGATTTTCCTTATTAATATCCTTTTCTTTTCTTGCAAAGAACAACTGTATCATATAAGTTATTCAAACTGAATATCACAGAACTATGGTGAGATTTTCTCTTAGCTATAGGAGCAGTACTATTTTAACTCAATTGAAATGTAAATTGACATATATTGAATATATATGCATAATACATATATATCTTTAGAATTATTGGAAATTTTTTGGTAGCAAAGTTAAAGTAGTCAAAATGAGAACAAAGTGAATTTGGTCAGGCTTATTCTCCTAACTGAATGCTTCTTTATTAAATCATCAGAATCTATAAACCTTTAATATCTATGGACATATATCAGCCAGCTCACACAGCACAAAGTGATGTCATACAGACAGCAGGCTCTGCTTCATCTCGTGAACGGGGCCAAATAAATACTTGGAAATTAGGAAAGCATTTTCTTGCTAACAAGAAATCAAAGTCGTTTGGTATCTCCTCTGAGATAATGGGGAATGAGACCATATTCTTTATTAACAGAAGTAAAAATATTTAGCTAAGGAAATAAAATTATTATTCACCAGTGAAGCTACTCATTCTAACAAATGAAAGCTCTGCTGCCCCCCCCCCCCCCCAATTAGCTAAACAGAGCACTTTTCAGTGACAGAATTACCCCCGAACCTCCATCATCTTCTTGGTCCTCCAGTCCTCAAGGAAAACAACATCAGAGACACTCTACTACTGTGCACCAATGAATATCATTCATAAAGGATTGGGGTCGTCAGAAATCTTTTTAGAATTTAAAACGTCTTGTACTATGGCAAGACACAAGCTAAGTAGCAAATGAGAAAACAACTCACTGTTTGCAGGACTGGCCTTTCGGAATCTCGCCAGGTCAACAGTAGGCGGTCTGCTAGGTTTCTGTGGGGCTGGACCCAGGGTAAATAGTGCAGGCAAGGGCTTCTGTTTAGGGGTGGTAGAATTCTTATCTCCCTTTTCCTTCTCTTGACTTTGGTTCCAAGGCCCTCCAACTGTCAGCTTGGAAGGTGGTTTTGGGAACTTGGGTGGAGTGGCACCTGAGCCAGAGTCATCCTGATTCATTTTACTCATAAATACATTCTTAGCCGCATCTATCTTCCTTTCTTCCTTTTTCTCTTCAGTATTTTTAGGAAAGCTTAGGGCTGAGCCTGGGGTACTTCTGCTGGTAACAGATTTCAGAGTCACACCAGGGAAAGGCATATTTGGGGGGTCTGTCCCATGGTCTTTGTTTTCTGTATCTTCCCTGGTTGGCTTAAAAGGGCTGATTTTGGGCTTGGAAGGAGGGACAGACGCAGGCCCCTTCTGCGGAAATGTGCTTTTGTTGGGGCTCTGGTCATCGTGGGAGGTATCTGCATTGAGAGATGGTTTCTGTCCAATTGCTGGTTTGGAGTAAGGGGGCTTGGGATCGTGGTCTTGCGAAGGAGTGATGAATTTTCCTTTAGCTCCAGCCAACTTTGGAAACACTGGTTTAGCTTCATTTTCTTCTGCTGGGGCATTGAAAACAGGCTTTTGGCCGGGAACTTTTGAGTCATTCTCTTGGTTGACAGCATGAAGCAATGGTTTGTTCCCAGAGGGCCTTGGGAACACAGGCTTGCACTCTTCTTTTGGCTGGTCAAATGGTTTGGCACCTACAGGTTTCAGAAATCCCAATTTTCCCTCCAGGTCCCTGTTAGCTGAGCTTGCTGGAGTCCCAAATCTCTGACCTACTCCAGTAGGTTTCAGATATGGGGGTTTGGGATCCTTGTCGGTTTTCTCCTCAAATGAAGGCTTTACTCCCAAAGGAGGCCTTGGAGTCCCAAACTTTGATAAATTGTTGGGCCCTGGAGGTGGGCTGTCATTTCCTTGATGGGTGAATACACTTTTCCTTGCTTGTATTCCTGAAGAGGTAGGATGTCCTCCTGCTTTGAAGGGTCGACTGCCAATCGAGACCTCCTCTGTCAGGTTGCCCCCAGTGTTAAACTTCGCCATGAGAGACTTCACATCTGCTTTTCCATCCTACAAGCACAGGGAACAAAAACTAGCTGAAATCGAGAAGTATCATTTGTACTATGCTTTACTGTACTCTAAAGGGTTTCCTGGTTTGAGGCTTGTAATGCTGCTGATTGGCCGGCGAGGTGTTGTAACATTTATCTTCCTGTATGGCAAAAGAAGTTATGAGAAGGATGGGTTTTTTGGAGGGGGAGGGGGAAATGTTTTTTGTTGCTTTTTTAGTACCTTAAACTAAACCTTTTACTTAAATCTTCCCTTTGTACTTCCGCTAATTCCCCCTCTTCCCCTTAAAAAGTTACCTCATTGGCATTTCTCTAACTTGACCTTTCTTTACTCACCTTTTTGTTTTAATGTAACAACTTTGGCAAGTTGATTCTTCCATATTTTGCAAATGAAAACAGTTTTGAAATGAAAATATATGTTTTGGCAGTCTAACTATATACATATATATGTATGTGCATATACATATACATACATAGATATATTTCATACTGCTGTCATATTAAATCCCTCAAGTTGGTTTTTGTATTTCTGAAATGTTTCTTTTTATTCCTATGCACTTCTGTGGTTAGTCTATTTGGTAGTAGACAGATTTCAGAGGCTGCTAGAGGGGCTAAAACCTTTTTATAAAAATTTTGTATTTTGTGTATGTGTGTGTGTGAACATGGAACTTTATATCTCTGGCTCACAATTTTCATAGCTTATATGTGGACAAAATGAAAGGAGAGCTTGACAGGCAAAAAGATGTTTGTTTGCTTTTAGCATTGGGACAAGCCCAGAGGTTACAAGAGCAGGTATTCAGTTTTCGGCTGATGTGGAAGTAACAATGCCTTTCTCCTCATCGTCTTCTCAGACTTTTTACACCATTGATAAGTTTACACTTTTTCGTGCTTATGATATGGTGTTAGGTAATATCTCTAATAGATTATAAGTTCCCTGAGGTCAGGGATTATTTTCATTTTTATCTTTGTGTTCCCAGTTCGTGTCATGTAATAGGCACTCAATATGCGCTTTTAAAATTAAACTGAACATTATAAACATTGCCACTAACAACTCAGAAGCTTCAGGGAAGAGAAGAAAGGGAAATGGCATGAGGAAGATTGGGCAGGAGTAGAGAGTGAGAGTGATTATCTTTTGTTGGGAGGAAAGTATATAAGAAGAAGAACAGAAAGAGAAAGAGAAGAAAGGTAGTCCTATTTTTTTTGCAGCTTTGATCCTGCTTCCCACCCCCCAATTTCTGAGCAGATTCAAACACCATTCCTACTCTCATTTCCCTCTTTCTCTTCTCCTTTGCCACTATTTACCCATCCCTCTTAAATAGATAGACTAATGGTAGGGCTCAGAGAGATCAGATTGAGTATTAAGAAATGATCCTGGTTCTAATCAATAAGACTAATAACAATTAGCATTCATGTACTTTTAGATTAGCACTTTTAGTTTGCAAAAATGCTTTCCAAATATCATACATATCATTTTATTCTCACAATGACCCTGGGAAAGAAGTTCTATTATTATTCCCATTTTATAGATGAGAAAACTGAGTTAGGGATTGTATCTTGCCCAGTTTAACACAACTAGTAGGTATCTGTTATTTCTTGCTCACTTGTGTTCCATCCCTTCCTTATGCTAAAATGACAAGGGGTGGGGGGTGAAAAATTAAAACTATTAAACTACCTTAGACCTACCATAAAATAGTGAAGATTTTCAATAAAATGTTATGCTGCCAGGAAGGGTTAAAAAATAGGGAAAATAAGTATGTGGAATTATTTGTTTATTATCAGAGTCACAAACCTAAAAGGGACCTTATGGGTTGCTATCAGGGGTAGGGAACTTGCAGCCTTGAAGCTACATGTGGCCTTCTAGGTCCTTGGGTGCGGCCTTTAGATTGAGCCCAAGTTTTACAGAACAAATCCTTTTATTAACGGGATTTGTTCTGTGAAGTTTGGATTCAGTCACGTGGCTTGGAGGCCACAGGCTCCCCACCCCTGGCCTAGCTCATATCTTATTTTACCGGAGAAGAACTGACTACTCACAAAGGTTAGAAGGTGAAACAGCTAGTCTGTGGTGTTCAGGACTAGAGTCTTCTTCACCTGGAAGCCACGACATCATTGGTCCGGTCCCTATCCTGACTCAAATCCTTATGTTCCTTGTTTTTAAGAATCTAAATACTTAAAAGTCTTAGCAACAAGTTTGAGGGGGCCACAAAAAACACCTTCAAAAGTCTTACAGAACATTTTAGGCGCTTAATAAATGTGTGTTGAATAGAACACAGTTAAGAAGACAAAGACAACACACTAAAAATCAGAAGTAAATGTAATAAAATTATAAAGATCAAACAAGATGCCAATGAAGAGATATGAGAACACATCTTCAACCTACCCCTTCAAGGAGAGGGGAGGGCCACAAGTGTTACACGTGGAGTATTTTTGCACTTTTTCAATGTATCGGTCAGTTGTGCTGACTTTTTTTCCTCTCTAAAAAAATTCTCATTTGTCACATGGGATGGCTCTCTGGGAGGGGGAGGGGAAAGAATACGTGGGATACTGTGGTGATATAAAATATAAAAAACAGAAAAAATATCAATAAAAACTTCAAAAAAACACAAAGATTTGTAGGGAACTCCAGTTTATGACTCAGTAGCTAATGGTAGGTTTTCAAGACAAGATTTTAAACCAAATCTTTCAGCACTCACATTTCCTCTCCATATTATGTTTGATTTTGCTTTCTTACTTCAGTGGAACTACTTTATATTGTGGAGTACATTTTTTTTTAAGCTTCAAGTTCACACAGTAACAGTAATACTGTTTTAAGAATGACTTTGAGGGAATAAGTCATTTTGACTCTTATAAATACCCAAATTAACTATAAAGGATATATGAAGAAATCACTATTTGCATCCAGAAGAACTGATAAATAGAAGTATGTATAGAATAATTTTACATATACACACACATACATACATATATAATGTGTGTGTATATATACATAAACCTATTTGTGTCTAAAAGTAGCCCTCTCTAGGGCAGGGGAGGGGAAAAGAGATGAAAAAAGGAAAAAAATTTACATTACATTATTTATTATATATATTTATATTATTATATATTTAAAAGGAATAGCAAGTTGTACGTAATAGATTTGCAGTTTCATGTGCAATCATCTTTTTTATTATACTATATCATGGAAATGCTTGTTTTATTCCAGAAATTAAAAAAAAAAAGCTTCAAGGTCAATATAGAATGAAGTTGCCTCAAAGACACGTGTTCAAGTCCTGCCTTAGAGACATTTACTAGCTGGATAAATCAAGGTGAGAGTCACAACCTCTCATTGTCTGGGCAATTTTTTAAGATTGTAAGTTTCAAAGAAGGTAGCACCCTACAATGGTAGCAGCAGTTCCTGGAAGAAAAGGGGGCCCTATACCGTACACAAGTCTGATCACTACCCCTAAGACTTCTTAAGAACTGAAGAGAACTAGAAAGGTTAGGTAGAGCAGGGGATTGCATTTCTATAGAGGACTTTGGAAGAGACAGTAAAGGAGGCATAACTTGCTAGAGGAAGATTGAATATGCTAACCACACGTCAATATAAAGAAAACTTAGAACTATTTATTACTATGAACTTCTCTTTTCTGTTTTCCAAGTACTTCAATTATTGTATAAGTTCAATAGAAAAAAATATTCCTGCCAGATAACTGACAGTTGTAATGATAACAATTGGATTTCTGACTAATGGTATACTTACAGGCAGGCAAAATGAGAAAAGATCTTCAGTATTAGAACTTGTCCTCATTTCACTATAAGACTAAATCGATATTCTAGTCTCTAGGGCCCTATTCAGTTTTAATAGCCTTTGAAGATAAGGTTTCCATTTATTCTTGTTGAGGACATATTTCACCATCTAAAAGATCTCACCGCTAGCTTTTTTTTTTAAATTCAAGTTTTCAGGTTTTAAAAAAAGTACTCTCATCCCAAATTACTTGTAAGTTTCTCTTCCAGTATTATCTAAAATGATTGTATTTTCTCATTTCCACCAGCTCAGATGCTAGCACCTCATTACCAAACTATTCAGAGTCATTGCTTTGTAGACAAACATGGAGATTAGATTTTCCCTCTTTCCTAGGAAAATGAAAGTTAGTTCTTCTATTTTCTTATTCATATTCTTTGCCCAGAGATTTTTATTCATGTGAAGTAAACAGATGACAATAATAGAGAACCTATTCCCTTGTGTAACCTTACCATGGCTGTAAGAGCCTCCAGGAAATAATCGTCACCAAAAAAAAGGTTTTTTGATACGTCCTCTGAAAGTGCAATCAGCAGCTCCAGATTTCAGAATATTTTTTTGATTTTAGCAATCCACATGAAGGATGTCTCTATTTAAACAGAAGGCTGAGATAGCATTAAAAGACAGATCAGACCCCTGTGTGCCCATATCTTTTGTAGAATGCCTTCTATAGGTAAGCAGACCGTGTTTCATTTTTGCGTGAAGATAATAGCATGCACTGCACTTTGGTGCGAGAGATGCTGTTTTTATGTTTTCTTATACCAAACACTAACTTGTGCTTTCAGAATCCCTTGAGTCGTGAGTTACTTTTTATTCCTTAATAGACTGGGGGAAAAGCATTTAACCAGAAGTAACCAATATTGGATTAGTTGAATTAGAATGAGCTGTACAATGAGTTGGCAAATAAAGTACTATATGGAAGACTCTTTAGCCAGCACAAAAAAGCTAAGCCAGGTGGTGAGGTTTTACAACTGTGTCTTACAGAAAATTATCATGAATGTCCTAAGAAGAAGCAAAATATTTCACAACCTTGTGTTAATAAATCTAAAAATATGTATATTTATAAGTGTCACATAAAGTGTTAATTTGGTGGTAAGCCACAAGCCTTCCTTTCAAAACGTTCTCGAAATTGACGAATTACACGGGCTCTTATTTCATCTCCTCCAGAAAGTGAGTAAACATTTTACAGTAGAAAACCAGAGTTCACAAGAAGCAATTCCAAGGGACCA